GGGTGGTTTACTGTGGGCCGTATGCCTTGTGGGCCTATCCATGTCAAATTTCTTAAGCAACGTTATTGATAATATGCAAGTAGATGTTATTGAACTTTATTTTTCTCTATGATTAATTTATATATACATGACAAATTTCAAGTAGATGATTTGGGATGACTTCGTTTGATAAAACTAATTTAGTAAAAAAAATTAATGAAAATTTTGAAGAGACTATTATTTTTGTATTATTTTATCTTTTCGTGAAAAATAATTTTTAAAAACTTATAAAGTATTTTTTAATATTTTTTACTTTTGATCATAATTAAAATGTTTTATGACTTGACCAACAGTGTAACAAGGTGAATAAGGGTTGTTATGATATCATTCCCCATAGAATGTGGGAGGCTATTGGCCCTGTTTGGTAGGGCTTATTTTCAGTTTATTTTAATTTTTAGCTTAATTTAAGCTATTTTGATGTGTTTGGTTCAGCTTAATAATACAGCTTATAGTTTTTTGTAAGTCAAAAATTAACTTATTCTTTGAGTAGGGGAGGAGAAGTTTAATTTATAAGTTAAAAATCAGCTTATGTTCATAGTTATAAGCTATAAGCTGTTAAGGTATAAGTTATAATCACTTTCTCACAGCTCTACCAAACGGGGCCATTGTCTATTCTGGCCTAGACTTTTAATCTATTTTTAGTCACATTATTTTTTTATTTTTTTACATATTTTAAAAAAAAAAAAATCAAAAAGTTAACTTTTAATCAATTTTCAAAAATAACATTATGTATATTTTTTTTAATTATTTTTTTTGGTCTTCCAAAAGTATCTATTTTGAAAAAGAATAAGGTATTTTTTACTCATAATTAAACAATGATACTATGCTCTTAAAAGAAAATGTCCCCAAAATTAAATTCTTGAAACATATTGCACATTGCACTTTATTTAAATTTAGAATAAGCAAAAGTGATTAGTAGCTCGAAAGAAAGGCCCTCGAATCCCTCCCCGAATTCAAAAACGACATTGTTTCGTTGTTTTGATTTTTTTTTTTTTTTTTTAACGCAGAAGAAGAGGGCAAAGAAGAAGAAGAGGAAGAAGAAGAAAGAAAGAAGAAGAAAGGAAAGGAGCAGAGCAGAGAAAGAGAGAGAGAGAGAGATCATCTTCATCATCAACCATCAACCAAAAATCAAACCCACCCCAACACATCATCATCAGCACAGCTTCATCATCAACCAAAAATCAAACCCACCAAATCATCAACCAAAAATCAAGGCAGAGGCGACGACGGGGCTGCGACAAGTTGCGACGAGGCGACAGCAGGCGACGATCGGGCAGAGGCGACGACGGGCGGAGGGCTATTGCAGCTGCCATCTCCTTCTCTTCCCCTCTCTTCTCTTCTCTTTCTTTCTCTCTTTCTCTTCTAAATTTCGGACTGTTCGGGGGGACAAATTTGTGGGGAAAAAATCATTTTTCTAGAACAAGATAGATTATGTGGGTAGATATGAGATGTCTTTCGTATTAATATGGTTCCCGACACATCCAATGTCAAAAGGGAAATTTAACCAAAACATTTATATTAGGCCCTTATTTAGTAAAAAATACAGTCTAATTTATTTTATTTCATAAATCTCTTAAGGAGGAAACATATAATTAAGTAAGAATAAAATAAAATATCTTTTTTTTTGGAACAATATTGACAGAATAACATGTTACTGTGAATCAAAGTAACATATTACTGTTACTGTTACTGTTTACATCAATTTCGACGGTAATAATGAATTTTTTTTTTTAAAGAATTTCATAGTTGTGAGATCAATAATCCTCTCATATGGATTGTTGTTGAGATCCAACGAAAAATGAGTTAAATCCCTATAGATCTGCAAAGATAAACATGGTCGATGCTGTCAAACTGGGATTGCTGGCCGGGGACACTCCGATGATAAAGTTAGTCACTCGAATTAAGGAAAGAAGATGCAGAAATGAAGGGTATTGTGTGTGCTCTGTTGCAAAGAGATGATGTATACCTCTATTCCTTGGGATGCCCTTCTTTTATATATAGGGGGTGTGATATTTGTCTCATGAGCTTCCTTGTTTAGGCTAAGCCTATTGTCAAGACTTATTTGGGTTACCCCCAATAAGCTAATATTCTTTGGACTACCACAATAGTTAACATGAATTTTATTTGATAGATCTTGATGAGAGAATTTTAAAAATACTAATTTTATTAAAAACTAATATCTACATCAAAATTTATATTATTTTAAAGTTTAATATTTTAGTAATATTAATGTGTGTTGAACTTTTGAAGAATTCTTTTTTATATTTATCTTTAATACATTAAAATTTTATTATAAAAGAGTTTTAATCAAATTCTAATGCCAAAATCATAACAAGTAAGGTCACGTTTCGGAACAGGTTTTTTTTAGTAGCTTTTTAGTTTTTTTTGACTAAAATGTGATGTAAAAAAAATTAATATATTTGAGATGATTTTTTAACTTTTTATGAAAAAATATATAAAAAGTAAAGAGAAAAAAAAATCTTTAACTTTTTAATATGAATTATTAATTTTTTAAATAATTTTTTAACTTTTTAATTAAAAGGAATTCTTGCGAAACGAGGCCTAATAATTTCAATATCCAAATCATAACAACTAAAAACTCGCAGCTGGCTGCCTTTTCTTTTTTTTCTTTTTATTTTTATTTTGCGTGTGCGCGCGTGTGAGCGTGTGCGTGTGTGTGTTGGTTGGGGGTTGCTGTGCAGTTGTCTTTTTTTGGGTGAATGCTTGTGCAGTTGTCATGGATCAAATACCCATCCAAACAGCACAAAAAATCTCAATCCCCGAAAGAAAAATGAGGCAGACCACTAATTAGTGGTTGCACTAGGGATGTGATAATGGATGAAATTCACTGTCACATGTATTTTGTGTCTTAGTTTTTATTTATTTATTTTTTTTACTTATCACATCATTAGTGATAGTATTAATGATAGAAATTTAGTGATATGTAGCATTGTTAATCCCCGAAATTCCAGTTGTTTGCAAATTACTATCCGTACTTTCTGTTTTAGTTAGAGGTGATAAATGAACTACATAATTTAAATTTTATGTTTAACATGTTAAAATTTCATTCGAATTGAACTCATTAGTTAAATAAGTTAAACTTAAATATAATTTAATTCAAATTTAAAAAGTTAATTATTTGACTTGTTAGTTACTTGTACTAAGGGATTGTTTGGGATGTCCTAAATAAGTACACTTTTTGACTTTTTAGACTAAAAAGTTAAGGAAAAAAATATAGTTGTTTAGGATAACTTTTTGACTTTTTATGAAAAATTGTATATTACAAAATTATATAAATTAGTGTATAGGAGAAGATTGAGATAGAATAGGCAATACGACAGGACGTCCTAAAGGGCCGCGTGGGTAGAGTATAAGCTAGGAGATGGTTTTTCCCTTTTTAGACATTGAATTGAACGTGTTGTTCGGCCCGTAGGAGCCCACCACGGGTCCTGTTTTGCTAATCGGAACCGTGTAATGTGTAGAACTCGTCGAGTACTATATGTTTATAAAAAATCACGTTGATCGGATATTGATAGCTATCTGATCAGATTAGTTTTTTTTCAACCGTTAACTATAACACCATCTACTTTTTATACAAAACAGATTTGATCATATAGTTAGAGATATCCAATCAACGTGATTTTTTATATGTATATAGTACTCGACAAGTTCTACATATTGACGGTTCAGATTATCAAAACGGGACCCGTGATTGGCCCCCATAGGCCGAACATCATCGTGTTATTTATGCACCCCACCTGTGCAATTTTTCTAAAAAAGTCAGCTCTGTGTCTGTAGAGATGTCAAAGTTGTTTGTAACAATTTTGTGTAAAATTAATTTTTTAATATTTTTTTTAGTGAATAGTGATAACTTTTTAACTTTTTAAATTTTTTGAGGTATGCCAAACCAGTCTTTAATCTCATGCTATTAAGCACGTAACAAACAATATAATGTTTCAAAAAACGTAGGATAATTACTTCTTTCCTACATCTTTCATGGGTAAGGCTCACACAAATCTACATATATGGGTCTCACACCCATGTGAAAGATTTAGTAAAATATTTGATAAAATATTTAGAATCTCTAGCATAATTCTAAAAAATAATGAAGAGGCTAAATAAATAGCCCAAACCGACATAATATATAGACATGGTGTAGTAGATCACTTGCTCCACCAATTTTTTGGAAGTCATATTTTTATCTATAATTTTCAAAATCTTAGTAAGAAAAATTCAAAATTTTGTATATAATTCCGTTACGAATTCGCCTCTACTAGATAAAAAAATTTGATTCCCCTCTTAATTATGACCATACAACCACTTTTCAACAAGTGTTTGTCACATTTCAATTTTGACAATTTATTTGTCTTGAATCATACTACTCATCACTCCTAATTATGCTATCAATTTATTTTTTTTTTTGTATTTACATATTAAAATTGATATTTGTCAATAAAGAGTTATTGGGGGTACATATAGGTGAAAAATAACTTGTTATAATCCAATTTTATTTATTTATTTTGCATTAGAATCTCTAGCATAATTCTAAAAAAATAATGAAAAGGCTAAATAAATAGCCCAAATCGACATAATATATAGACATGGTGTAGTAGATCACTTGCTCCACCAATTTTTTGGAAATCATATTTTTATCTATAATTTTCAAAATCTTAGTAAGAAAAATTCAAAATTTTGTATATAATTCCGTTACGAATTCGCCTCTACCAGATAAAAAAATTTGATTCCCCTCTTAATTATGACCATACAACCACTTTTCAACAAGTGTTTGTCACATTTCAATTTTGACAATTTATTTGTCTTGAATCATACTACTCATTACTGCTAATTATGCTATCAATATATATATATTTTTTTTACATATTAAAAATTGATATTTGTCAATAAAGAGTTATTGGGGTACATATAGGTGAAAAATAACTTGTTATAATCCAATTTTATTTATTTATTTTGCAGATTATGAAGAGCAAATCTCAACACAAGCCATGATGTTCAATGACACAACCTCTAACCCTGACCTAATTATGGTCGCACTCAGAGGCACAGAGCCATTCGATGCGGATAAATGGCAGACAGATGTCGACTTCTCATGGTTTGACCTTCATGATGTGGGTAAGATACACGGTGGCTTTATGAAAGCTCTAGGCCTACAAAAGAAAACAGGCGGGCCCAAAGAGATAGATATGGGCCTGGGCCAACCATCATTTGCATACTACACAATTAGACAAAAGCTCAAAGACATATTAATGGACAAGAAGTATGAGAAAACAAAGTTTATAGTGACCGGACATAGTTTGGGAGGGGCATTAGCAATTCTGTTTGTGGCAGTGCTAGTGTTACATGAGGAGGCATGGTTGTTGGAGAGGTTGGATGGGGTGTACACTTTTGGGCAGCCTAGGGTTGGGGATGAACAATTTGGAGAGTTCATGAAGGAGAAATTGAGGGTTTATAATGTGAAATATTTGAGGTATGTTTATTGCAATGATATGGTGCCTATATTACCATATGACAACAACATTTTCTTGTATAAGCACTTTGGGCCTTGTCTATACTTCACCAGCTGCTATAAAGGCAAGGTTAGTCATCTCTCTTTCTCTGTTTTTTTTTTTCTTTTTCTTTCTTTTTGGGTTGACTTTTTTTAAATTTTTTATTTTTACTTATTTTGTTCGTCTAATTGTATAGACCTGAAAATGTATATTCTTAAATAAGTTTTTTTTAGAGTACACTTAAAAAAAAATACCAAAAAAGTCAATTTCAAACCACCTACTATTTTGAGCCTCGTCTACTAGTGTTTTTATTTACACATATCCAAACCAATAGTTAATGGGATATCCATACCCATAGTTAATGGGCCTTCAAAAAAAGAGGGAATAGAAAAAGAAAATGACCAAAAAAAAAAGGGGGAACTAACCCAAAGGTCCAAGCCCAACATATCATACCCCATTTAGGCCCAAAACAAATTTAATACTCCATTAAGTCCTCAAATTATCAATAAGATGAAAATACCCACAATATATCATCCAATTTACACGCGCGCAACCATCACCCACGATCAACTCAGTCTGATCAGTACACTGTCACATCTCCGCCGCTCGAAATCGAATTCTCAATCCTCCATCTCTCCTCCGTTCGACTCCATTCCCTCTGAAACCCTACCCTAACCACAAAACGAAACCGTTCATCTTTATCACCCACGATCATCTCAGTCTAATCAGTACACTGTTACATCTTCGCAGCTCGAAATCGCATTCTCAGTCCTCTATCTCTCCTCCATTTGACTCCATTCTCTTTGAAACCCTACCCTAATCACAAAACGAAACCGTTCATCTTCAACACAACACCAAGCCGTTCATATTCTCCAATCGGCGACTCTCAACAACACGAAGAACTATCACCACTCTGAAGAAATTTCATAGTTCCTGACTTCCGATTCACAGAAATGGGGAAAAAAAGTAACATCTCTCTTCACCTATTCTTCATTATTTTTCTTTCAAATTTGTACATTATTCTTTCATATTTCGTATATACACATTTCACATACTTCAAAATGTATAAACCCTCTTTTATATATAATCCCCTGTTTTAAAACATTCTACTCCTCTGTTTTTAAACATTCTAATCCACTGTTTTTACACATAAATCCATGTTCTTACACATTCAACACCTTATTCTTATTCTTGTTGTTCAATATTGGCTTTTCTTATTGTTATTGTTGAATATTTAATCTTCTCGTTATTATTGTTGCTGTTTACAAAATGCAATGGGCTGTTCTTATTGTTGATACTGTTTATAAAAACTGCAACATCATACAGTTTCATTTCATCACTCTACCAGTAACATATCTAAATTTATTCAAACTGCAAATGAAACTACAAAATTACACTGTTTAATCACTACTCAAAACAAATAGGTAACTTATTATAAAGCATAAATTAAACTGTCAAATTATACAGTTTCGTAACTGTTACTAACAAATACATATAACTTCATATTAAACTGCATATAAAACTTCAAAATTATACAGTTTTGTCACTATATTACTCATACCCTGCTGTCGCTTTCATTTTTTCAGAAATAGCTGTTAGAAGATATTGGAAGAAACAAATCCATATGCCCAAAAATCCAATAAGGGATTTAAGTATCTCCCCTTTTGAAAGTCCTTCTCCTGTATCCACTGAAATGCCACCAACATCTCCCCCTCCACAAAAAACACAACCAAAAACAACCAAAAACAACCAAACATCATAGACCCCACCAAAAAACCCACAAAACAACCACACTATCTACAAGAAAAAGCCCAAGAACTACACAACAGACCCCACCCACACAACAAGCACCAATCACACCTCCAACCACAACAAAAACAAACAAAAGAAAGCTAACAAAAAAACAAAAAGCTCCTCCAACCAAAAAAAGAAAGCTCTAAGAAAGCCAATCAACTCCCAATACAAAAACCAAGGCATCAAAAGGGAAAAAAGCAGCAGTCCCTGCAAAGAGAGTCCAACAATTCAATTACTGTTCCAACATCGGAACAGTAATCAAACTGTTGAAGGGGGTCAAATTCACAAAAGCCCAATAGACAGAAATGGAAAAAACCCCTTTTTGGGCCATTATAAATGCTCTCTCCTCAACACAACTGAAGGCTTCTTGGTGCAGATGCTACAATTCCATTGTAACAGAAATGACAACACTCTACAACAAAAGAAAAAGAGCATTTATACTTGGCAAAAAGGAAATTAAACTCAGAAACAATGATGCCAAGTTCATTTTTGGTATCGACTGTGGAGAAGACAGCATCACCACCAAATCCTATGCAAGACCAAAGGATTTTGAGCTTCCATTTTACAAACGAAGATGCAAATCAGTAAAGAGATTGGATGGCAAGTCTTTGACCAAAATGTTTCAACAAACAAAAAAAGGAAAATCAACCAATGATCGTCAAGATCTTGCAAGGGTCATCACCCTTTACTTATGCTTGAAACTTCTCATGCCTACAACAGGCCATACACTCAGCTGGAGTTTCCTCAACTATTTGACAATCTCAATAACATGAAGAAGTATTATTGGGTTGAGGCAATAAAAGACACATTGATGAATTCAATGACAAATGCAAACAACAACCCAAGGCATGTCACTGGATGCATTATGTTACTCTTAGTAAACACATTACTCAACTACTTCACACAAAAATATCAGACATCCACCTATTTCTAACTATCTAACATTTTTTATTTTTTTTTACAGTACTGGTACTGTGAGCACAGTAAACTCCTTCGACCATCCAACAAAGAAGGCTTCCCAAGGTTTATGAAATGGAACCTTGGCAAAATGTACTCCGCGTGGAAACACATTAGCCTTGCTCACTTTGAAAAGGTATTCAAACTCTTCTATACTATCATAGCATAAATCTATTCAACACTCATTTCACAGTCATTATAGTAAATATCATGTTATGAAACTTTCAAATTCTTCGGTTTCAAACAACATATATTCAACACTTGACTCACATTATTCACAGTGCAAATCATATTATGAAACTGTAAAAGTTTGCAGTTTCAAAGCACACACTTATTTAACATCACTCATGTTATGAAACTGCAAAAGTTTGCAGTTTAAACACACAAATCTATTTCACATCACTCATATTATGAAACTGCAAAATTTTTCAGTTTCAAGAAACATATTTCGACACTTAACCCACATTACTCACAGTACAACTCATCTTATGAAACTGACCAATTTTATAGTATTACTGATATATGCCACATTGTTCCAATGCAGGTTAACCAAAGTGCTTTAATCCCAACTGAACAAGAAATACAGTTATTGCATATCAATCAAAGCACATCAACTGACTTTTCAGCAAAGAAACATGACCACAAAAAGGACAATAAGCGGAAAAAAAAAAACAACAAAAAAAAAGACTTCTAGACAATGATGAGGAGAACTTTCTTGAAGAAGAACATCAATCAAAATCAGAATCAGAACAAGAAGAACACCAACAAAAAAAGAAAAGAAAACAAAAATCACAAGAAGAACCAGAAAGTAATGAACAAGACGAAGAGAGTGATGATGAAAAAAAACAAGTGACTGATGAAAAAGAAGCTGATGAAGAAGAAACTGACGAAGAAGAAGAAGAAGAAGAAAAAGAAGAAGAAGAAGAAGAACCAGAAGAACTTGATGAACAACAAGACAATGATGAAGCAGAAGAAAGACAAGAAGCAAAAGGTGATCAACAAGAAGACACTGATGAAGAAGAAGACCGACAACAAGAACAAGAAGAACAACAAACAAACCAACAACAAAAAGTCAATGAACAAGAACTGACAAACCAATAAGAAGAACTCCAAGAGAAGTCTGACATATTTCATACATAAGGTAAACTATTGTCTAATACTAAAGCAAACTGTAAAATTCAATTAAACTAACCAAAACACAATCCAACTTTTTTATAGGTTATGACCAAGCACAAACACCAACCAAAGTGGACGACAAGGACAAGCTCATATCAGCCATGAGAGCACAAATGCAAAATATGGAACAAAAATTCATGGCTGAATTGCGTAAAAAAGAAGATCAATTGAAGGAAATGTCCACCAAAAAAACTGGTAGTCCTCAACAAAGATCAATGGTCAAGAGAATCAAACAAAAGTCAAGAAAACAAGCACGTGACCCAGATTTTGAATACTAACCAATGACAAAAGCCAAAGAAGATGCAAGGAACAAGACACAAATTGCTACTGATGTACCCAAACCAACAGAGGGTACCGATGAAGGAAAAGAGAAATAGAATGAAAAGAAAAAAAAAGAAATCGAAGCAGAGACGGAACCTTTTACTGAACCCGAGCAAAAAGAGGATGCTCATGAAGCAAAACAACAACAGAAAGAAAAGATGCAAGAAGATATTGGCCAACAGAAAGTAGTTACTGCTGAAACCAACCCAAAAGAGGATGCCAATCAAGAGAAGACACAACTTCAAGTATTAGAAAGTGATGATGATTTCAAGGAAGAATCAATCCAAAACAAGTCACTCGCTGTTTCATACCGCAAAACTAACAAGGTTTGGCATAGCCTATCCAAAAAAGACCAAGACCAAATTCAACACATCAACAACACACAATCAAGTGCTTGTGTCTGGTCTGGCAGCGAAGATGAAAATTGTGTATACTTTTCAGATATATGCAAATTGACCAACAGGGAACCCTTATATGGGAATGTACGTTTCCAACTACACAATTTTACACATATTCAATAACCTATTCCACAAACCTAACACATTCTTATATAGAACATGTTTCAGGTCATTGATGCCTTCTCAGAAAAGAAATTGGCACTCCAACCAACCATTGAAGAATTTAAGAAGAATGATCTAGCTTTTGCAAGAAATCCATATGCGGGAAAATCTTACGTTTTCTCAACACTCATCAATGTAAGCAAAACTTAACATACCTTTCAATATTATTCAAACTGCAAAATTTTCTACTTTCTTAACATGTCTTACCACAGTTTTATAACATATTTCAAACATATATATAACTTACAGATTCCACTACAAAACCAAGATCAAGCACTGAGAGAAAAAATGATGGACAACCATTTTCCAGAAGCAATAAAAAACAGATATATCCATTTTCCAATCAACTACAACAACCATTGGGCAATTGTGGTCTTTGACAATGCTGATGGGATATGGAGATACTATGACTTTTTGAGACCAACAAAAGATTGCCACAACAAGAATTTTGAAATTGTAAAGGAAATTGTAAGTTAAATAAAATTTCCTACTTAGTTCCATTCCTTTAAAAACATCTCAACTCATGACTATAACTAACAAAAACACCCACTAACTACTTTGTAGCAACAACATCAACTGAGATGGAATAAGGCATTACTCAACAATCAAGGAAACATGTCATCATCTCAAGAGTGCGAGATAGTAATTGCATCAATTGAGGAATGCCCACAATAAACCCCACACTCGTAAGATACAAAATCAATAAACTAATCTTCCAATATGCTAAATTTTGCAGTTTTACCTAACTAATTAACTTCATCTAAAACTTTGCAGGAATGATTGTGCAATCGCCGTCTGCAATGTTATCAACCAATATATCAACTGGCAACCTGTGCAGAAATCACTTCGACTAACTGAGTGGGTTAAATTTCGAGCAGAAATCATTAGTCAATTCCTCAGTGATGAGAACCGATCTTGGAAACTCGAGCACTACCAAATGTTGACAAAACATACCAAACCATTGAAACAATGAACAAACTTCTTGATAATACAAATATGCAAGTGAACATATCTTTGTACTTTTTTTTTTTTTTAACATGTGACAAGTACTTTATATACTTTTGGGAATGATTTTCTTCTGGTTATTATGGTGAAAATGATTGTTGTCATTGATGTTGTTGTTGCTCTTCTTCTTGTTATTATTATTGTGGTTGTTCTTCTGATTGTTTGTGTACTTGTTTGTGGTTGCATATATTTTTATACAGTGAAGCTTGTTTCTAATAATTCTTGAAACTGCAAAATTATACAGTTTCATCAGGTTGTTTCTAATAATTCTTAAAACTGCAAAATTATGCAATTTCATCAAGTTGTTTCTAATAATTCTTAAAACTGCAAAATTTTACAGTTTTGTCGCTATGAAATATGAAATAAATGAATCATGTAGTAAAACTGCATTTCAATATTATACAGTTTCAATAAGAAATTTTCAACAACCTTCCCAGCATTCCATAAAAATAAAAAACAAAACAAGACTGTTACAAAACAACTTCAATAACTAAAGAACACATCAAAAAACAAAATATAATTCAACCAACTTTATTCATTACTTCCATAATACCAAGTATCACATTTTTTATTATCATAATTCCTCAAATTCAAATACAAATCCAAAAGAATAGACTGTGGCCTCAAATAGCAGCCTTGCACGTCTTCTTATTGTGATTCCCATATTTCAAGCACCTCCCATACTTGATCTGCTTCACATTCTCACCCTTAGAAGGTATCCTCTTCTTCTTGTTCCGCCCGGGCTGTTTCTTCATTATAGGAGGTTTGATAATCGAACTACCGGCACTATCAAAGTCAAATCTCTCACTTGAAGGCATTGGATAAACAGATTCCTTGTATGACTCTCTAAAACAATCTACACGAAAAAAAGGTATCAATGAAATCATACACATCTCTACCACTACTACGCAAAGCATGCACAGTATGATAACAAGGAAAACCATTCAATTGCCATTCATGGCAAGAACAAATCTGTCTACCAATATCAACATAAAAAGAAATAGAAGAATGAACCTCAAGCACAGTATCACTAGCAACAATCACATCCCAAGACTTAGCTAGCTTCAAAGAGTCCACCAACTTCTTTTCCATAACTGGACACAATTTCATAGGCCATCTTTTAGATTCAGCTCTTTTATTCGACAATTGAGTCATGATTTGAACCTTAATCATATCAACCATACAAGTAATAGGCAACTCACGAGCCCCACCAATCAAATTATTGTAAGACTCGGCAACATTAGATGACATCTCACCATATCGTTTTCCTCTAAAAAATGCATTCGCCCACTTATCATTTTGCAAACCATCCAACATACTATCAACTCTACCATTCCCAACAATACGCCTCAATTTCTCCATATAATGTTGGAAAGAAGCAACCGTTGACGCATAAGCACATTTAACTAATATTTTCATCAAACTCAGCTTATAGTTAGTACGAAGTCCCACCAATTTGTCAATCAAATTTCTTTTCAAATGATTCAAGCAATATGCATGATATGTATTGGGAAAAATCGATGAAAGAGCATCTAGCAATCCTTGTTGACGGTCCGACACAAAGGTCAATCTTCGGCCAGAACCAACAACCTTTAGCAACTGACTTAAGAACCACATCCAATTATCTTGCTTTTCAACGTTAACAATCACAAAAGCCAAAGGAAACAGACCTGCAAACAAAATAACATGAAACTGTAAAAATTAACAGACTCACAATACAATAACACACTGACAAACCAAACCTATACTAACTGCAAATACATACATACCTTGATTACTATCCTTTGATGTTGCTACAAGCAAATACCCCTTGTAACGCCCCTTCAAGAATGTACTATCAACAAACAACAACGGACGACAAAATTGAAAGCCATACAAACATCCATGAAATGCCACCAAACAACCTCCGAAAACACCCACTACTTTCATCCACATCTAATTCAAACACACTTCCCGGATTCGTTCTCATAGCCGTCTCAAGGTACCGTCGAAGTTGGTCAAAAGAAGTTGTAAAATCACCAAACAACCCATATCTTGCCATATCAACTCCTAATCATGCAACCCGATAAGAAACATCTATACCATATTGCTTTTTCAACTTTTTTTTAACTTCAATAGGACGAGTCAATGGATTATCACTAATATCATTTTGCACAATATCAGACACAAGTCTAGAACCAACCATTTTGCTACAAGATCTATGAGCAACAACCCCATAAGTATGTACATTATCCAACTTCATTATAAAAAAAATACCGGAATTCATCAACACCCTTCCATGCACAAACCATTTACAACCCGTAGACGACTTCATTACACATTTAGCAGTTACTCTTGTTGCATCGTTCTTCAAATAATTCACTGCAAAACCACCCTCAACTGCATACTTAGCCAATGTAATGCGGAAAGCCGGCACTCCACCTTCAAATTCTTAACCAACACTATGTATAATCCCCTTCCAATTAGTAGACAACAAAATTCTCTCTGGTTCTGGATAAAACTAGGCAACAAACCACCAAAATCATCACAATCGTTAACCAAAGAACTCTCACAAATTACAGAATTAATCCTACAAGAATTATCATCATCAACCTCCACAATTCTCTTATCACCCACAACAACATCAACAACACGACAACCAGTACCACCTAACATTGACAGCATATTCCCCAAATCATCATCACATTCAACAATATAATTAGAATATCCAGGAATAGAGAAAAACAAACAAAAGTTACCAACACTCAACTCCTTGAACTTCGCACATATTTTCTCAACAACTTCATGATAACTACATCCCTCACTAATCTTAATAGTAGTACAAGAATTACTGTATTTGCACATTAAAATGAAACACCTCTCCATACTGCAAAATCACAAATCAACAAACAATTGTTCATAGATTCCAAACTGTAAAATTATATAGTTACAACATATCAGTACCAACAGTGCACAATTCACAATTCCAAACTGCAAAATTATACACTTACAATATATCAGTATCAAAACACCAGAATTCACAATTCCAAACTACAACTTCAAAACACATTACACTATACAACAAACAAAATCAACAAAATCAAAATCATTACACCATATCACAAACAAAAATCAAATAAATAAGTATCAAACAAACAAAATTTATCACAAAACAAAGAACTAAAACAACATTGCTAAACACAAACTAGATATCACGCAAATTTACTTATCTATATATACATACATATATGTATCGACAGATACAAACCACATACACACACAGAGATATATATATATATATATATATATGTATGTATCAATAGATACAAACTAGATACAGAGAGAGAGAGAGAGAGAGAGAGAACGTACGCAGAGATCGCCTGCACACAGAGATTTAGATCGCACAATCAGATCCACCTCACAGCACAATGAGATCGACCACACAGCACAATAAGATCACCATAACGAAGAGAAATCGAGATCGTAGAGGCGAAGATACGATTTTTTTTTTTGAGCGGAGCAAATATTTGATTTTTCACGTATATATACATCTCAAACAAAGGGTAATACAGTCATTTACAAAATACGAAAATAAAAAACAGGACCTCTGAGTATAAAACTTAAAAAACTGTGGACCTATTAATCTATTGAAAATATATTGGGATTAGAAGGGAAATAGATCCCCTACATAGAACTACATAGTAATTTTCCCAAAAAAAAATTGAGGGAAAAAGTGTATAAAGATCAACTCACATTGCAGACTAAAGTGATTCTTAACCAGCCAAGAAAAACCTGTCCCAAAAAAACTAAGACTAAATGAATTCTCTATCTTGAGAATTTTGATTGAGAGTCACACTAACACATTACATTGGGTAATATCCAAGTAGTAGAGGAGGAGCCAAACAAGAACTACTTCTCACTGTTGTGGGCAATACCCATGTTCTTGAATGCAGTGATGGAGATTATTAGGGGTTTCATTATCCCATACGTAAAGGGAACAGTCTATAAAGAAGGCTGGCTTTTGAGGTTGCTTAGGCTAATCGGGTTTGCGATTCCTGGATTTTCTGCTCAGTTTCCTCAAGATTATGTCAATTCCACTCGATTGGGATATGTCCAAGAACTAGAACCTGAACTGGATTGTAAAGATGACTAGTTGCAACATCCTGATCTGTCCATTTGTATTGCATCAAATATCTAATAATTTCATTCTAAATTGTTTGTTCCAATAATCTACACACACACACACACACACACACACACACACACACACATATATATATATGTGTATGTATATGTGTGTGTTACCAATTGGCACATTTTGTTTTGATAGTGTAATATTTTTATGTGGGTCTCTCGCATCCATGGAAGAGATTTGGTAACAAATTTAGTAGATTATTTGGAAGCGTCTTATTATGTGTCATATTTTGGTTACATCGTTCGACAAAAATATATTCAATTTATTTTAAACCTTGTAAATTAATAATTTAAAAAATTATAATTATAAAACTAATTTATCAGTGATAATAAATGGGCCCATACCTACTTACTCAATCAACCTCACAATAACACATTGGATTTTCATCTTATCTATTTCATAAATAGAACGAAAATCTCTATTTCATTTAATAAAACAATAATGTTAAAAGAATATTGTTGTTCAAATCTAAAAATTATACTCATTTTTCAAACTCTATAATGTGTTAAGAAAATGATTTGTGGGTAATTAAATATTTTCAAATTATCAATCAATCATCTTTTTGATATATCACTGAGTGTAAAAAAATGAATTTAAAAAATGGATTTATATATCATTTTCCAAGTTAAAAACATAGTTAGACACATCTCTCTATTCCATTCATTTGACAAAGCAATAAGATCTCTATTTCATTCAATAGTTGTAGTGTTTTGAAACAGGGTTGTGACAAAAGAATCCTGTGCCAGTTTTCTTGAAGAAAAAAAAAAGAAAAAGTTGAGTATTCCCTATATTTTTAGTATTCTCAAGTAAGGTTTTGTATATTGCTGACTTCTCAAGTCATTGGTTTTTGTTTTTTTTCACACTTCAAGATAGGAACACGATAATGTGATTCACACTTTTGCAAAGTAGGAAGATTTGTTTCATTACCATACACACTAGGTATCTTTGTATTTTTTGCTTGTGTTGGTTGAACTAGCATAAATCATATAGGTAACATGCATCCAAAAAAACACGGTTTCATTTTCAAAATCTATTTATAATTTTTTTTTCGTCTGATTTTCTCTTTTTTTTGAACAAAAATAAACAGCAAAAATATATTTTCGACTAAAAAAAACCATATGAAAAAATTACCTATTTTCTCTTCTTTTTGGATTAATACCTCTTTTCTCTTCATTTTTCACTAAACTATTTTTTTTTTTGAAATATTAAAAAAAAAAGATTTTGAAAACATAATCAAAAACAAAAGAAAAAATTACAAATCAGTGAAACAATAAAAAAATAATTCTATTATAAATAAAATCTTTGTTGATGCGACTATGACACAAAAGAAAAACGTCTGATTTTCTCTTTTTTTTGAACAAAAATAAACAGCAAAAATATATTTTCGCCTAAAAAAAATCATATGAAAAAATTACCTATTTTCTCTTCTTTTTGGATTAATACCTCTTTTCTCTTCATTTTTCACTAAACTATTTTTTTTTTTTGAAATATTAAAAAAAAAGATTTTTAAAACATAATCAAAAACAAAAGAAAAAATTACAAATCAGTGAAACAATAAAAAAATAATTCTATTATAAATAAAATCTTTGTTGATGCGACTATGACACAAAAGAAAAATTTGTACCATGCACAAGAAACACTTGCATCATTGTGAAAATACAAATATTTTTTGGCTGTTTCACTAATTTACAATTTTCCCAAAGCAAAAGCAATCGTAAGGACAACAAAAGCATCAAAAAAACCGGACGAGGATACTTGGGTTAGAGTGTTAAGCATCTTTTGCCAAAATACAAACACTATATAAGTGGTCATGCATTGCATGGTTAATTTATTATATTCTATTATATTAGAGAAAGAAAGAGATCAGCACAGAGAGAGAAGAGTTGGTGTTTTTTTTTTTATTAATAAAAAATGAATTGGTTGATTTTCTTCTTGTTCTTCATCATTATTTTCTTCTTTTTCTTCTTCTTCTTCTTCTTCTACGGCGTGAGAGATGTTGTGAACAAGATCCGCTTCTGGTTGCTCATAAACGTGTCAATCCCAGCAATAGTGAAGGTCCTCTCTCACCTGCAAGGGTGTATGTATAAACTAGACTCCAAATTTATGAAAGTCCTCAATGAGATCGACAATGAAGGTTTCAAATTTACCCACACTTTTTCTTTCAATTTTTTTCTCTAAATGCTTTTAACTCTTCCATCGTTTTTGTTTGTTTTATTTTGTAGGTATATTAAAACCACCACAACCTGGTACCTTAAATAAATAATTAAAATTCAGTTAATTAAATGTAAGAATAAAAATAGAGAGTTAATAACACAAACACACCCACACCCACACCCGCTCTCCCTCTCGCTCTCGCATGATGTATACATATAGTTGCGTTAGCAGTATAATATTTAAAATTTATTCAATCTCTTAGATCATCCCAGTAGAGTATGTTATTTTAATACTGTCAATGTCATGTATTTTTTTAGTTTACGCTGCAGTGCCAACTTGTCATATTTTAAGACTTTGGCTCCATTGAACGTCACGATGCAATTTTTTGTCATATGATGCGATACGTACCTAAGTATAAGTATTTACAATATTATTAAATTGAACTTTTAAATTTATATGGACAAATTATACAAATAATATTTATATTTTAGTCTTTGTATTATTTTGATCCTTATAATTTTAATTGGAGCATTTTTTATTTTAAATTTATAATTTTGTCTCAGTTTAATTTAATTGATAATAACTGTTAGTACAACAGTTTTTTTTTTTTTGAGCTTTTGTTAGTACAACAGGTTGATTATTACTTTTTTTTTCAAAATCATAACAACATTCACAAAACATCATAATTTTTAAAATTTCAAATACAATTGATTGTGTAGTCAATTGGTATAGCATATAACACTATCCTAATTTTTGTCGTTATAGCACAAGCAATTGTATATTCAATTGGCATGAAAGAGTGAAAGGAAAATCATAAGTGCTTACAAAATCAATTGGGTTGAAAGATCACAATTGATTATACAATCAATTAATAGCCATTGTAAATGAAAGGAGATTGAATAATCACAATTGATTGTACAATTGATTAATATAAGTTTATGTTGTTATTTAATCAATTGTATAATTTATTAAAATATACTTACATTTCACTTACTTTTACATATTTTTTTTTCTTTTTTAAATTTTTTTTCTAAATATATAAGCCAAATAGAACCTTAAGTTTCGATAAAAAAAAAAACACCTCCAGCATGCATCCTCTTATAAATTCATCCTAAACATTGTTGGCTCAAAAACCAATATAAGATGCCAACAAATAGTATAAACAAAGTGGTTGTAACACTCAATTATTTATGAAATTTGCTCTTTATGAATTAATTTTCTACATACAAATATGCAAATAATTTGTTTGGTTGTGGGTTATATGGTGGGTGTTCAGCGGAGTTGCCGGAAGGACTAGCTAAGAAAATTACGATAGTAGGACGTGTTGACATGAGAATGCGGTTAGACAAAAGAATCAGTAGTGACAACAAGAAGTATACGGCATCACTATCTATGATGGCTGCTAAATTGTCCTACGAGCTTAAAGACGTTGTCAAATTTGTACTCACCAAGTACTGGAAGGTATATATACAATTCAATCATCAACAACCTGTTCTTCAACTATATATATATATATAATAACAAAAAAATTTAAAAAAATTTAATGTAATTTTTTTTTTAAAAAAAAAATTACAAGGAGATTACATACAAATACACGAATAAAAAGCTGGCCAAGTTTAAAACACCAAAAACTGAAAGAATATTCTAATTGGTTTTCTAAGAATAGAGAGATTCTCTCTCATTGCCAATTTTTGTTTGGGAATTGACTATTTTAATTTTTTATGAAAAAATGTGTAAAAAAATAAAGAGAGAAATTAATTTTTTTATAATATTTTTTTGACTATTTGGATTTATGGTTATGGATTTAAAATGAGTGATTCATCAGTCGTTTAAGGAGTATATATCTTTTAATTCAATACAATAATAGCATATTACTTGTGTTATGTACGAATATAAATAAATAATTAAAAATTAGTTTTAAATTTAAAATAATAATATAAATTTTATTTAAAATATGTAAAGATAATTTATAATCAATTAAATTTTATTCATTTTTATTAGAGTTATACATAAGAGAAGATTTTTATTTTGATGTTATTAATTGAGTGTTCTAATTGAGTTCTTAATAAAAAAAAAATGCATATATTATAATTTAATTGGTAAAAAATTATATTTTCAATAAAATGTAAATACATTTTGTTTTATAAGTTTTATAATTTTAATTTATCATATGATAGTAGTAAATTACACTTGTTAATGTATTGATTTTTTCTTATTTTGTAAAGCCTAAGAAATTGTCCACTCAAAATTGTAAATTGTCTTTTCTATGAAAATGGATTAGAATTAACTTGTGGTGGTGGGAGAAGCAAGTTTTTAAAATGGATCATCAATCACATTATAATGGAATAAAAGTAAGCTAATAAAAGATTTTTTGATTATTTAAAAAATTAAAGATTAAGAGCAAAAATATATGGAAGATGTGAATTGATTCCTATATTTTAGCGGTATAAAAATTTAAATTTTAAAAATGATCATTTTCAAATTTCTAAATTTAAATTTTTAAATAGATTAATTAACTTTTTTTTTTCTTTTTGTGGAATGTGTAAATCAAGGTATAATAAGATTTTTTTTTTTTTTAATGATTCAATAGAAGTTAGCCAATAGAAGATTTTTTAATTATTTAAAAAAATTAAACATCAAGAGAAAAATCTATGAAAGATGTAAATTAATTCCTATATTTTAGTCGTACAAAAATTTAAATTTTAAAACTAATTAGTTAACTTTTCTTTTCAAATTTTTAAATACAAATTTTTAAATGGATTAATTAACTTTCCTTTTGGATGTATAGATGAAGGTATAATAAGATTTTTTTTTTTAATGATTCAATAAAAATTAGACAATATAAGATTTTTTTTTTAATTATTTAAAAAATAAGAATTCTAGAAAAATAGTATGATGCTCTCATTAGAAACTCTATTTTCTTCAAAATATAAAATAGATTTTAGAATTAGATTTTAATAATGAATTTGAAACTTTTAAATATGTGATGATTTTAAAGTTGAGGAAATTTAATAAATGAACCGAGCTGTTTATGAACAAGCTTGGCTCGGTTCGGCTCGTTTAGTAAACGAGCTGAGCTCGAGCTCGCATAGGCTCTGCTCATTAAGCTCGGCTCGTTTATCTTTATTTAAATTATATAATAAATATATAGCCAATTTATCAATAATTTTGAAATAGATCAAATGGAAAAGCTATGCCTTTTATTTAATAAATAACCAATTTTATAATAGGTAATAAAATATGCAATAGCCTTTTTATTGTTATCGTTCATTAAATTTTCAAAATGTTCCTAGACTAATTAATAAAGGTTTGTCAATGACAGTTTTAATAAAGGTTGTCTACAAAATGTTAAAATATTTATAACTTCAATATATTTTGTAAAATATTTCAAAATATTTTTACACGTTTTTTCAATACTAACAATAATTTTTTTTTTTTTTTTTTTTTTTTTTTTTTTTTTTTTTTTTTTTTTTTTTTTTTTTCTTTCTGAAGAAAACCAGACGTCGAAAACACAAGCAATCATGTTCAAAAATAAAAAAGCGAACCTGATCGTGGTGGCATTCAGAGGGACCAACTCGTTAGAGAATTGGGATCCTCCCCTTGAGCCCCCTCCTTCATTTCCTCCTTGCAAGGGCCCTCGGGTCCACTTTGAGGCCCAGTTTTGATAATTCAAACCGTTCATATTTTTAGATTTATTCAGTATATTATACCTGTAAAAAATCAAGTTGATCGAATATCATAAAGTATGTGTTCGGAAAACTGTTTATTAAAAAATAGTTTGTAATCCCAATTTTCTGAACGCATACTTTTTGATATCCGATCAACTTGATTTTTTACAGGTATAATATACTGAATAAATCTAAAAATATGAACGGTTCGGATTATCAAAACTGGGCCTCAAAGTGGACCCGAAGACCCCTGCAAGGAGGGAATGAAGGAGGGGGCTCAAGGAGGGGATCTGGACTCCTCGTTAGATGCCGGGGCGTTGATCACAGATTTAGAGTCAGAATTGTACGAAATTAAAGGCCACAAAAAAATGGAGGGTAGGGCGCACCTAGGCTTCATGAAAGCTCTGGGCCTAAAAAAGGACTTAGACTGGCCCAAGCCCGAGGAAATCACCGATGTAGATTACTTAAGCCAACATCCAGCGTATTATGAGATAAGAGAGAGGTTGAGAAAGCAATTATTGGAGGACGAGGAAGGAAAGACAAAGTTTATAGTGACAGGACACAGTTTGGGGGGTGCATTGGCAATATTGTTTGTGGGTTTGTTGGGGTACCATGAGGACACGTTGCTGTTGGAAAAAATGGAAGGGGTGTACACATTTGGGCAACCTAGGGTTGGAGATGACAAGTTTAAAGACTTCATGAACAGTACTATAAAAAAATACGGTGTGAAATATTTGAGGTATGTCTATTCCAATGACGTTGTAACCAGGGTGCCATTTGATGTTCAAATTTACCCGTATAAGCACTTTGGGGAGTCCTACATCTACTTTGATTGCTTTTATCGAGGCCGGGTAATTTCTCTCTCTCTCATTTTAAGACTTTGTTTAGGATGTTCATTGCGGTTAATTCATATAAGACAAAACATATTATTTTAATTAAATTAAATAAAATATTATATTTAATTCATAATTATTTTATTTTTTTTCTTACAAAATTAAAAAAATTAAAAAATCTATTTCAAACAAGACATTTTAATTCCAAATTAAAATAACTAAAATATCAAAAAATTAAAAAGTCAACTTAAAGAAACCTAAGTTGTTAAGGTGGAGTAGGACCTAAAATAAACTTGCACCAAAAAAATAAAAATAGGATTTGGCTTTCATAATTTGAACTCATTTGGATTAGAAAGTGTTGTTATAATTTATTGCAAATTCTGTTTTAATAACTTAAATTATTTATTTTATAATTTTTTTTTTGTATATATCATTTACACAAAAATTTAGTTGGTCTCTTAATTTATTCAATTTATCGTGTTTGTCACCAAAAATAAATAAATAAATAAATAAAAATCAATAATCTATTTTTAAAAATGAATTTGTTGTCTATTTTTTAGGCAAATTATACTTATAGTCCTTATATTTTACCTCGTGTCATTTTGGTCCTTATATTTTTAATTAGCTTAATTTTGACTCTTAATTTTAAATTTTGTGTCAATTTAGTCCAATTGATAAAGTCATTAGTGTTTTTAATGAAAGTTTTTCACTGAATTAGTTAAACTTAATTCACTGAGTTGAACAAATTTATAATTTTTCCTTAAGAAGCATGATACATGTCCCTTATATGCATATTTTTTATTTGAAAATGCTAACAATTATAAACAATAAGACTAATTTGAGACAAAGTTACAAATTCAGGGTTACAATTGAGTCAATTAAAATTATAAGGATCAAAATGACACAAAAACCATAATACAAGGACTAATAACGTAATTTACCCTTATTTTTAAAAACACAAATGCAAACAATCGAAATGTGGTCGGAATTTTTCAATCCCATCCCCATCCCTATGGATATCTGCGGATACCCGACCATATTTCAAATAACCAAAAAAATTGAGAATCATTTAAATCCTTAACACGCTAAATAATTTTTCTTGTTTTCATATACAAAAAGAATGAGACTTTTAGAATTATTATTTATTTATATTTAAACAAAACCATAGATTTTTAGTATTCATTTCTTATATCTAATTATATTATATTTTATATATATATATATATATACATACATACATATTATTTATTTATATATTATTAATGAGTTAATTATCTAAAAGTCATGTTTATAAATGTTATGATAGTTTAGGTCCTATCTAAGATTTTTTGAACCAATAAGTCTTATTTAGTAAAACTGAGAATATTATCAGTTTTTTTCAATTTTTAAAATTAAGAACATTATCAATTTTGTATAATAATGTTCTAGATGATTTTTTCATTTACTGATGGACAAAAACAAAGCATGAGACCAAACGTTTGGTTTGATTCAATTATCCAATAAAACTGAGAACATTATCAATTTTTTCCAGTTTTAAAACTGGTAACATTATTAGTTTTTCATTTTTAATTTTTTTTTTCAGTTTTGCACATCATCATACTCTTTTATAGACACAAAATTTTCAGTTTTGCACAAAAAAAATAATTCAGTTTTTTCAAAAAAAAAAAAAAAAAAACATTCAGTGTGTTTGGTTTCAAATTTTTGAATTTAGTTTTTTAGAAATTGAGTTTTTTATTTTTCGTATTTTTTGTTTTTAGTGAATATTTTAAAAATTTTAAGTAATTTTTTTTACTTTTTTAGATACACATTACTTAGATGTATCTAAATAGTAAAATATTTATGAAAAAATATTTAAAAAATTAATAAATACACAAAAAATATTTAAAATGTACTGAATTTTCATTTTTTTTGTTGTATTTTTGGTATTTAGTGAATTTGGTAAAGTTTTTTTTTTTACAAATATTATACTTTTTAAGTGCATTTATGTTAGGTGTGTCTAAAAATTAAAAAAATTTGCTTAAAATATTAAATAATTCATTGAAAACAAAAAAAATACAGTAAATAAAAAAGTAGAATTTTAAAGTTGATATTTTAAAGTTTTGAAAATCAAAATAAATGTCAAATCATTATATTCCTTTATAGATAATCTGAAATGATGAACAATTTTTATTTGAAGGATAATTTCAACTATTAAAAATTTAATGAGATTTGAATGTCTAAAAAATCTTAATTAAAACTTAATGGAGTATAAGTTTATAAATTTGGACTTGCGTGTAAGTATCCCATCATTAATTATATGGGGATGGGTTTGGATTGGAAGAGGCGATACCCGCCTTTGCCTCCCCCTTGTTACAGGTGATCAAAATATAATCCACTGCTACTTTACATAAGTGTTGAGTTGAGTAAAAATATGTCCTATTCCACAGGTATGCCAATCAAATTAAAATGGCCATCTAAACGTGATCTACATCACACTTAAAATGGATTTAGGTCCTACATTAAATTTTCTGTCTACATTGTGATATTGGATCCTGAAAGATAGGCCAAGCCTTAATATAATAAAAACACATTCACAAGGGTTTCTAATTTTGCATAGGTTATAATTTTTTGATTTTTTTAATAATTTTTTAACTTTTAGGCTAAAATAGACAGTTCCCAAACGAGGCCTAAGTGAAGGCTGAACTTGGTGAAATCTTTGATTGTTTCTCCTTATATCATGTGTCTCTTATTTTTCTATTTAAAAAATAAATTAGATAAATAGAAGAAGTAAGATTTGAATCTTAGACCATAAATTTGTTGAAAAAGACCTACTGGACTAGTACACAATATATAATAAATAATTTATTTTATTTGTATTTATTTAACTTGCAGACGTATCAAGTATATCACCTGCTAATATATTATGTAACTACCAAACTTAAGCCTAGGGGCGATCTTAAGAATTAGTGAAAAATATAAATTTTAACCATGACTTCACGTATAAATCCAATCCTTGATGGCCGAGTCTATTGATCAATGTTATCTTTCATTTAATTGATTTTACCCTACTCTTGTGTCCTATTTCTAAAATTTAAAATTTTTCAAATCTTGGATCTTGGATTTAATTCGTTGTAGTTGTCCATTTTTTTGTAGGTAAACTAAATAATTAAAAAAAAAACTGTTATTTTTCTTAAATGTCTATTTATTTTATTCTACTTTATTTAAGTAAGGATGTACTTCAAACAATGGAACAGCCCATTCAGGAAAGTAACACTTTTCACTGGATCTACTTTTTTCATTTTTATAAAAATTATTTCCTTCCATTTTCCTTAAATTTCACAAATCCAACAACAACAACAACTAAACATAACGTTTAAAGACTTGTTTGATTGTGTTTTGGTTTTCTATGTTTTTTCGCTATCTCCTTCTCTTTTCAACAAGTAAGATGATTAATTGATTGTCTTTGCAAAATTTGCATTCCGATGAAAAAAAAAAAAACAGGTCGAAAGTGAGGAAATCAATAAGAACTACTTTGCGTTGAGGTGGCTCATACCAAGTTACTTGATCGCAATTTGTGAGCTGATTAGGAGTTTTGCTATCCACCACATCGACGCGTACGGTGGAGACTACAAGGAAGGCTGGCTTATGATAACGCTAAGGTTGCTGGGTTTGTATTTTCCAGGATTATCAGCTCATACGCCTCAAGATTATGTTAATATCAGCAGATTGGAAATCTCGCCTCCTAGGAGCAACTCCAATAGGCTCTTTAAAAGAGGCATGCTGGCTATTATAGCTAGTTTCGTTTTATTTTACCTCATTCAATGGACTAACTACTACACTAATCATTTTAACAAAAAAATTTAAACTAGCTATAATTGGAGAGCTTTGAGAGACTCTTTAAACAGTGTGTATTAATAGATAGATAAAATAAAGAGTAACGTTAGAATTGCTCTAATTTCCAAGACATAATTCATGACCATCATTATAAATGTGACTGGGAGATTGTCACACCATCCAATCTATCTCTATTATAAATATAAAAATAAATTATTGTATCCCTTTATTTAAAAATAATCTGTTTGTTTCAAAAGTATTGGCTTGTATTGTATGTAAAATTAGTTTTTATTGGTTTGTATGTAATAAAGAAATTTCCATCAATAAAATGTCTCTTTTGTTTATATGTCTGGTTATTTGGAATATTTTAATTTTTAATAGAGATAGTTCCTATCAAAGAGATCAAATTCTTATGAAAAAAATAAAATAAATAGAGAGATTAAATTCTAACCAGAGGCATCCAGCCATTCTATGCTGATAGATGGCGGACAGATGAGCCTATTGTGTTGGACTCTAAGTCTAGTGATTGTGATACTATTAGTGTATCCATCAGTGAATCTGTTTCTAACAAGATGAAGACAAGACAAATGATAAAGGGAAAAGAAAAGTGGGTGCTAGAAATTCCATGTTATTAGGTGGATTTTCTGGGTTTGCTAGAAGATTAGGGCGTGGTGGGGCTGGATCAAGTACAAGTAACCACAAAGGAGTTGTGGTCAGATCTGCAGTTGCTGCTTTGTCGAAGTCATCTTTAGGTAAATCATATCCTCATTGTGTCAAAGGAAAACTTCATGATGCACAAATAACACTCCTTTTGGGAAAAAGTTTGGGGATTGATTGCAAGGGTCAAGATGAGGAAGTGCTTCAAAAACTTGTTTAGATGGAGGAGTTGGATAAAGAAAGGATTGGAGATGGGGTTGATGAGGCAGCATAATCAGTTCCTCCAGGGTGATATTGAAGAGCATAAGTTTGTTGATATGAAGTGGTTAAGTTGGAATATCAAATGGATTGGAAGGCCTGAGAAGATGAGAAAAATAAGGAAGCTCATATTAGATAGAAAAATTGGCTTGGCTTTATTTCAAGAAACCAAAAAAAAGAAGCAAGTATTTCAAGTGTGGACGTAAAAAGATTGTGGCCTAGAGACAAAATGGAGTTCATGTTTGTTGATGTTGAGGGAGGGGTAGGGGGATTGCTTTGCATTTGGGACCCTAATGTGTTTCAGCTCTCAGATTGTTACAGTAATAGAAGTTTCATTCTACTTTCAGGTATTGTTTTCAACTCCTTTGATTGTGTTGTTACTAATGTGTATGCTCCCAATGACACTATGAAGAGAGGTAAATTATGGGAGATTCTATTGAACTTGAAAGCAATATTCCCTAAGCCTTGGTGTGTAGGTGGAGATTTTAATGAAATTAGAAATGTGGGTGAAAGAGTGGGATGTTCAAGAAGGGAAAAGGGTATGAAAGACTTCAATGACTTCATAGATAGGCGTGAGTTGACTGAGTTACAAATACTGGGTAGGAAATTCACCTGGTGTAATGCATTTGATAGAAATAAATGGAGTAAAATCGATAGATTTATACTTAGTCCTAAGTGGATTGAAAGATTCAAGTTCAAACTTTGGGGTTTACCTAGAAACATTTCTAATCATTGTCCTCTAGTATTATTGGAGGATGAAAGGGACTAGGGACCCAAACCTTTTAAGTTCACAAATGCTTGGTTATTGCACCCTAGTTTTGCTTCCTTCCTGGAGAAAGCTTGGAAAGAGACACAAATAAATGGCAGAGCTAGTTTCATATTGCAAAGAAAATTACATGCATTGAAGTTAGCACTAAAGCAATGGAGCAAAGAAGTGTTTGGAAATGTTTCAAAAAAACTTAAAAAAGCTAAGAGTTAGCTACATTCTTTGGATCTATTGGCTGAAGATAGACCCTTGGTGGAAGCAGAGTAGAAGTTAAAAAGAGAGATAAGAAATGAAATGCGGAGGCTAAGTAGAATGTTGGAATGGTCATGGTTGCAAAAGTCAAGGTTGGAGTGGAACTTAAAAGAGGACAGGAACACTAGATTTTTTCATGTTATGGCAAGCAGTAGGTAGAATAGAAATGCACTGAATTCTATTTTAGTTGAAGAGGTGGTGGTTGAGGATCCAAAGCATGTGAAGCAGAAGATATGGGCACATTTTAAAAGGCACTTTACAAAAGATTGGAGGAACAGACGTGTATTACTTGGTGATTTCAAGAGTGTCAAAAGTAGTGATTGTTTTCAACAGTTGGAAGCAGAGTTCTCGAATGAGGAGACATGGGCATCAGTAAAAGAGTGCAATGGGAACAAAGCACCAGGTCCAGATGGTTTTAACTTAATGTGCTTTCAAAAGAATTGGAAGGTGCTTAAAGAAGAGGTGATTCTTTTCATGAAGGAGTTCCACAGTTTGGGTAGTTTGGCTAATGAGATGAATAGCTCTTTTATCACACTTATTCCTAAGAAGGTCAATGCAGTCAATCTAAATGATTATAGGCCAACAAGCTTGATTGGGTCAATGTACAAGACTCTCTCTAAGGTTCTTGCAAGTAGACTCAAGTTAGTTATTCCAGAAGTAATTTGTGAAACTCAATTAGCTTTTTTAGGTGGAAATAACATCTTGGATGGGGTTTTGATTGCAAATGAAATAGTGAATGGGTAAAAGAAAGCCAAGAAGAAGGGGTTGTTGTTCAAACTTGATTTTGAGAAAGCATATGACTTCATCAATTGGAATTTTTTTTTTCCATGTTATCAAATTTTGGGTTTGGTTCTAAATGGATTTCCCAGATGAAGGAGTGTATCTCAATTGCTAGAATTTCAGTACTTGTAAACGGGTCACTAACTAAAGAGTTTGGTCCACAAAAAGGGCTTAGACAGGGTGATCCATTATCACATTTTCTGTTTAATTTGCCAGCTGAAGGTCTAAATATTCTACTACTCAGAGCAAGGGATACAGATTTGATAAAAACGATACATATTGGAGTCAATGGGGTGGTAGTATCACATTTACAATTTGTCGATGATTCACTACTATTCTGTGAAGTTGATGTGATAGAGGTGATGAATCTGAAAAGAATCTTAAGGTGCTTTAAAATAGTCTTAGGGCTTAAGATTAATTTCCATAAGAATGTGGTTTGTGGGATTGGAATTTCTAAAATTTTACTCAAGGATTTTGCTACTTTGCTTAATTGTAAATCTCAGAGTCTACCACTGAAATTCCTTGGCCTGCCATTGGGTGCTTCTCCAAGCAAAAAGAAGTTTTGGAAACCTATCATTGATAAGATCAAACTCAGACTTGCTAGGTGGAAAATGAGGCTCCTCTCATTTGCTGGCTGTAATAACCCTGACCTGTGATTAACTGATTAACCATGATTAATTATGCCTAATAAATAATCAAAAAGAAATCCTGATTTAATTTCATGTGTTATGTGTTATATGAGTTTCCATCTGTCTATCGTAAAAATATCTGTTTTTGTTTTTTACTGTGAATTGAAGGCCTTATCAGCGTCCGATCGTGAAATTGACTTGAATTACGTGTTAGTTGAAATTTTGGAACTTTATGGTAGATTTAATTAAAATTCAGTTCAGAATGATTAAATTAGAATAATTTAATGCTCATTAGATTAGTGGTAAGCTAATTAATTAATTTCTTTAATCAAGCTTATTTAAGGCCACCTCAATATCTCTTATAGACTTTTGCACTCTCATTTCCTCTTGTTTGAGCCCAAAAACGTGTAAAGAGAGAGAGACTAGGGAGAAGTGACTTCAAACAATGGAATTGCTTGAGAATTTGGAGACTTGGATAAGAACTTCAATCAATTAACTCTAGAGAGCATAGTTGAGCATCTAAGGTAAGAAATCCAACCTTTAGTTGTGTAATTGAATTAGTTTTGGAAGAATTCTAGTGAAAGAGGCGGAATGACATGAGAATGAAGCTAGGATTATAGAATTGTAACCCAAATCACACATGCCTGCATATATCATGGCATTTTGAGTAGATTTCTAAAAAATTGTCACATGCATGTGTTTATCTCAACTTAATTTTGAGAATTCATCACATTTCTTACCATTTGACCTTAATTGATCATATTTTGGAAAGCCTTAGTTCAAAGTATTCATACATGTTATGTTCATGGCATACTCATAAATTTCAAGATGGAGTTTTGATTAATTAAAATGCTTTTGGGCCTTGATTTAGTGAAATAATCTTCAAATCATGGTATTTTGCAAGTTTCTAAAAGTTTTCTGGAGTTTTGGCCCAAAAAGATAAGTTTTGAAGTGTGTAGTTCGAGTTTAGAGCTTGGGAGTGCAATCTAGAAATTCCAGATTCTGCACTTCCACTCGAGCAGCAGAAGATGCACTCGACCAACCACTTTGTGATCTTACACTTCCACTCGAGCGACCATAAGACCACTCAAGCGTGAAATGTGAGCTCCCAAAAGTTTCATGTTTTTGCAGACCGCTCGAGCCACAAGAGTTGCGCTCAAGCGAGGACTTGAGTCTCACGCTCGAGCGACCGTCGAGTGTGAAAATCACACAACTAGTACTTTTTCAAAGTTTACAAACCGCACGAGGAAAGGAAATTGCGCTCAAGTGCCCCCTCACATATTTGCATGTTCGCTCGAGCAAAAGGAGTTATACTCGAGCGAGATCCCTGTTTTCAGCAAGATTTGTTAAGAGTTCCAAAGTGCATTTTTGACACCCACATTGCATCCTAGGCATTTCTAGACCATGATTAAGACACAATAAGAGGTTAAGACCTAGAAACACACTAAGAATGAGACGAAAACGTTATGTACCCAATGAGTGTATGCGTTTCATTATGTGTTTCTATTATGTGTATATAGGTCACGCGCAACAAGTTATCTGATTTGTCTGTTCTGCAAGTGAAACCATCTATGAGTAATAACCTTGTAAAGCTATGTTTACGTCTAAGTAATTTCTTATATAATATGATATGACAAGAAATGCTCTGTTTTATGAAATGTTATATTCTGTCCAATGAATAATTGTTCAATTTCTGGCAAGTATTCATGGCATCCTTAGTACAAGACCCTTGCTTGAGGGTTAATAATGCCGTGGTCTCATGGCTTTTGTCAGAGGGTAACAATACCGTGGCTCAAGTATATTACAAGTTCCCAGTACCAGAGGTTCCTTATGGAACCAACAAGCATGATAATGCTATTGGATGTACCATGTATAATGAAGCATGAACTTTAATTTATGTATAAATTTGAACAAGAAAATGAATATAACTCTATTTTTGATATGAACTCTGGTTTCCAATTCTGTTATGGACATCATTTATTTAAACACTTTACTCTGTTAT